GAGGAACTTTAAATGGATATTACTAAGGGAAAGAAGCCAATCTAAAAAGGTTATATACTGCATGGCGCCCGGTATTTGACATTCTGGAAAAGGCAAGATTGTGGAGACAGTGAAAGGATCAGATGTTGCCCGAGGGCTAGGAGCTGGGAGCTGTGGGAGGAGGAACAGGTAGAGCACAGAGGAATTTTAGGGCAATGAAACTGCTGTGCATGATACTATAAGGGTGGATATTTATCATTCTATATTTGCCCAAAGCCACAGAACGTATACCACCAAGAGTGAACCCTAAATGTAGGGTTCATGTCCATCGACATGGATCATTATGATGTGTTGATGTTGCTTTACCGATTATAACAAACGTACCAGTGTGGTGGGGAACACTTCTAATGAAGGAGGCTGTGTGTGTGTCAGAACAGGGAGTATATGGGAATGCTCTGTACTTATCATTTGATTTTTCTGTGAACCTAAAACTGCTTGGAAAAATAAATCTATTGTTTAAAAGAATATATAGCTCATATGAATAATAAAAAAGACAAGAATTATTTGAGAGGCATCCATCAGGTTTGTGGAATCCTCTGGTCATTGTTAAGTAAAAGGGCTACATGAGATCCACCAAAAAAAAAAAGAAAAGAAAAGAAAAGAAAAGAAAAAAAGACATCAGAAACCAGATTTTCAATCCAAGGCTACACTTCATAGTCTTAGCTCTCAACACCTACACCAGTATATTTTGAATTTCAAAGATGCCTTGTTAATAGTGTAATTCAGTGGGTTTGAACTAACATTTAAAGGAATGGAATGGAATAGTATAGAATAGAATAGAAAATAGCTTGAATTACACACATAATAAAGAGAGACATTGATTTGTTAAACTTTGATTTCTACTTTGTACATATATAGCATGTGTACTGTGTCATGATGTAAAAATGTGCTTTTTAAAATAGGTCATGGTCAAAGTAAGTTTCAAAGCCCTTGCCCCATGCTGTACTGCCCTACTGCGCGGGCTTTAATAGGTCACACTCTATTAAACATCAGCACATGTATGTTGTTGTAAGATTCACAGGTTAGGGACTACATGAAGAGCAGCAGTGTGTGTATGTATGTGTGTGTGTGTATGTGTGTGTGTGTGTGTGTAGTGTGAGTTCAATTTATACTCATTATCATGTCCAAGGGACATTTAAGAAGCAACATCCAACAGGCAGACCATATTCAGATCCAACTTCAGGATTTAGGTGTGAAGAGGAGATACCTAATAGAGCTGAGCAATGAAGAGTGCATTCACTTCCGGAGAAAATGGAAAGGGAGGAAAAAGGCAAGAGCCCTATGGCATGGCTTCCTTTTAGAGATGCGGAAATGTACATAGTTGGAATGCTTCTAAAAATGGCGTTCCACCAAATGAGTCAAATATTTACTCAGTGATATTTTTAGCATATTATTTGCTTAAAAAATGCTTCTTCTTCAGAGAAAAAAGGAACATTTTACATTTATTCTGATTGTGTTATAATTTTGAGAGATTTTTTTGAATATCTTACCTCCTCACGTAATAGTCCTTTTAAGTGAAATTTTTTTTGTAAAGATGCAACTGTAAAGTGATAACAATAATCATAAAAATATAGTCATTCATGGCTCTAATCAAATGTGACTCTTAACACTGAACATTAATGAAGTATCCAACAATGTTTAGCATTAATAGGAAAAGTGCATATTTTGCTTATAAATAAGTATATAGATAGACACACAAAAATGAAGTGAATATTGGCTCTAAAAAAGATGACCAATGGGTCTATCTGTGACATACATTCAGTGGTTTAAAAAATAGCAGATACATTTCCATTTTATTAAATTATACTTTCAAGAGGTACATTATTAAAGAAAGGCGACATTTTCTATTTGGTAGCCTAAAATTCCTTTAAACAGGTGGTAACTTGTGGTGTTGCAAACATCTGTTTTCAGGAATAAATATTGTTCATGTAAGAAGCATGCGAGGTCTCAAACATGTTTCCTTTCTTTTAAAGTTATATTTATTTAAAATTTTTTTCTTAGGGAGCTAAAAGGAAAAAAGTATACATAATAGTTATTTAGTATTTTTTTCTTTCCTCAATTCAAGTCCTCACGAAGTGCAGTAACATTGTATATGTGGGGTGAGATGTTACAAATAGCAATCTGGTCAATCTTTGTGAAAACTGTGTCACCCTGCCAGTATTTGGGGGGAGGGCTGCGGATCCGCCGTGCATATCTGGCATCTGCAATGCCCACTTTAGCACTCCCAATCTTTGCAAGGTGTTTATTCAAAGACTCATTAAACCGTTCCACTTGGTATTCTTAGCCCTGTCCTCTCAAGCTATGTAACCTTCCCTGGTCTAGTTTTATCTTCTCCAACAAATCACCCATCTTTCTTTGAACAGAAATTATGTTTCTTATTTGAAAGAGTAGACTTACATTTCATCTAAGAAGATCACAGCACTATGAGCAAAACATTCATTATTTTCAGCCCTACTGTACTCAGATCATTCTCATTTTAAAGCTAAGCATGGATTTTGCTGTAGTGTAAAGGCAGCAAATAAACACGGAATTTGCCAAAGATTTTCAAATGCATTTTCTTTCAGAGTCTAACATGGTAGGTGCCCTCACGCTTTGCACGCAAATAATGCAGATATTTCAATCCTGCTACCTAGAAGGTGGATCTGTCCTGCGTTGGGAGGACAGGGTGTGGATTCACCGTCTGCTCCACCCCACCCTCCCATGGTGCTCCCAATGGCTGGGAAACACGTGAGGTAAGAGAAAAACAAGACACAGTGCTCGCCTTGCAGGAGTGAAGATGAATTTTCACACACTGCCTTGGGGTTTACACATCACACTTCAAGTCACCCAGTAGAAATGACTTAAATTCTTTTGGTTTTGATGGCCCTAAAACTAATAAGTTTCCAGCATTATCAAGATTTAAGTTGGTCTGAACATTACAAGTATTTGATGCAGTGTTTTTCTTTAGGGTGTACGGGGGGATGGGGTATAGTGATGGCGGTGATTTTTTCAAATCATGCTCTGTGAAAACATGGTACCATTTATGTTATTAAAGTGCTCAGAAAAGGTCCAACACTTAAGGAAAGTAGTATTATTTGCAGGGCGGTCACCTGAAAGGAAGCGAGTTTAGATCATTTGGCTAGTCCTAAAGAGCTGCGTTCTCCGGTGCACGACTCCAGGCAGGGTCTTTGGAACTACTCAAACTTGCCAGATCCCCGGTGCTGGAGTGTGTGGACAAGACCAGGACGACGACAGACAACACATAGGAAACGGCGCTTTTCTTGCAATTGCTCCCAGAATATCCACAGATGGGTAGCGGGGGCTAAATAAAGAAACACAAAGAAGAACGGTTTTCGAAGTGGCACGGCCAGATAGACGGGGTCTGAGGCTGCTTTCCGTGATCCAGCCTGCCCACCGCGCCGCTGCGCTAACAGCCACCTCTCCACATACACAGGAAGTATTTGGACTCGAAACTCCAATGCACCTTATTTTGTTTGGTTTATGGTGTTTAGCTACAACGGCGAGAGAGTGACCCAGGAGGCTTGCTAGCTCGCAACTGCGAGACTTCAGGTCGAGGCTGCTGGGGAGGGCGCTGGCGCCCGGGGAAGGGGGCAGGGACAAAGAGGAAGAGGAGGACCGGGAAGGAGGAGGAAGCGGGGGAGGGGCCGGGAGGAGGGGGCGGGAGAGGACCGCGGCAGGGGGGCCCGGCTCCTCACTGGCGAGGCCGGGGAAGGGGTGGGGGTGCCGGGCGGCTGGTCCCAGGACCTGCTGAAGAACCGGCCTCGGGAGTGGCCAGATTGAACGCGAGGGCCCGGCGCAAGCCAAGCCCGCAGACCGTTACTCCCGCCCGCGCCGGGGCGGGGCGCGCGGGGGCGCGGCGCAGCCAAACCCGCACGGCGACGTCTCCAGACACGGCCGAGGAGGAAAAACAGACGGAGAAAAAGAACAAAACCGAAAAATGCAAACGGGGGAGGGGCCGTGCAGCCTCTCGGGCTTTAAATTGATTTATTCGCCTTAGAAAAAGGGAGAAAGGGAAAAGGAGAACGGAGCCCACGTGCCCTGAGAAGGTTGTGTCGAAGCGCCACCTTCCGTCGGCCGGCGGCCTCGCGGGCCTCCCGGGCGGGCTCGGGCCGCGGCGCGGGGGAGCAGCGGAGCCTCCCTGGGGGCGCGCCGGGGGACAGCTGCGCCCACCCCCGGGCGCCGCGGACCCGGAGCTGGGCTGTGCCGGTTGTCACTCGCTTTGCGCGGGCCCGAGTGTGCACATGGGGAGTGAGCGCGCCCCGTCTGCCCACACCGTCGGGCCTCCGGGGTACGGGGCACAAAGGGGCGCTGGGCCTCTCCCGGGACCTGGTCCCCGGCTGGCAGCGGCGCCCGGACTAGCCCGCTCGCCCCGGGGTCGCCCGCCCACCGCTGTGCCGTGCGCAGCTCCCAAGCATCCCGGGGAGAGGCGCATCTGTGCACACACGCGGATTTTTTAAAAATAACATATTTCTAGACATGCCTGCTCTTCCCCGCCACCCCCATCTTTGCAAAGCAGCCCCGAGGGCGGGGCCAAGGGGGCGGGGCCTACGAGTTAATAAAGGGAGATAGGCGGAGCCGGCCACCAGCCATTGGCTGGCCGGGGGAGTGATGTCACCCATATGACACCCTGATAACTAGTTGAGAGAGAGCCCTCAACTTTTTGCAGAAGGAGCGCGCGCGCCTGGGAGTGCTGTGGGTCCGGCGCTTGCGGTGGGAGCCACGAGCCGGAGAGAGGGGTCCCGGGCTGCCTCGACCGCCGCCGCCGCCGCCGCCTCTCCCGTTGCTGCCGCAGCTCCCAGCGCGCCGGCGGCCGTAGCCGCCGAAGCCCCCGCAGCCGCTGTGTGCAGCCTGGAAGGGGGGGCGGGGGGGAGGGGGGGAGCCGCGGACGCCGGGTGCCGAGGACTTTGCAACTTGCCCAGGAAGGTGGAGGGGTGGGAGGGGGAGGGGGACCTCCACACGAGACCGAACGGCCCGGGTTGGAGCGACCAGCCCCGCAGCGGATCATGGTGCAGCAGGCGGAGAGCTTGGAAGCGGAGAGCAACCTGCCCCGGGAGGCGCTGGACACGGAGGAGGGCGAATTCATGGCTTGCAGCCCGGTGGCCCTGGACGAGAGCGACCCAGACTGGTGCAAGACGGCGTCGGGCCACATCAAGCGGCCGATGAACGCATTCATGGTGTGGTCCAAGATCGAGCGCAGGAAGATCATGGAGCAGTCTCCGGACATGCACAACGCCGAGATCTCCAAGAGGCTGGGCAAGCGGTGGAAAATGCTGAAGGACAGCGAGAAGATCCCGTTCATCCGGGAGGCGGAGCGGCTGCGGCTTAAGCACATGGCCGACTACCCCGACTACAAGTACCGGCCCCGGAAAAAGCCCAAAATGGACCCCTCGGCCAAACCCAGCGCCAGCCAGAGCCCGGAGAAGAGCGCGGCTGGCGGCGGCGCTGGGGGCGCGGGCGGCGGCGCGGGCGGCGCCAAGACCTCCAAGGGCTCGAGCAAGAAATGCGGCAAGCTCAAGGCCCCCGCGGCCGCCGGCGCCAAGGCCGGCGCGGGCAAGGCGGCCCAGCCCGGGGACTACGGCGGCGCGGGCGACGACTACGTGCTCGGCAGCCTGCGCGTGAGCGGCGCGGGCGGCGGCGGCGCGGGCAAGACGGTCAAGTGCGTGTTTCTGGACGAGGACGACGAGGATGAGGAAGACGACGACGAGTTGCAGCTGCAGATCAAGCAGGAGCCGGACGAGGAGGACGAGGAGCCCCCGCACCAGCAGCTCCTGCAGCCTCCGGGGCAGCAGCCTTCCCAGCTGCTGAGACGCTACAACGTCGCCAAAGTGCCCGCCAGCCCCACGCTGAGCAGTTCGGCCGAGTCCCCCGAGGGCGCCAGCCTCTACGACGAGGTGCGGGCGGGCGCGACCTCCGGCGCCGGGGGCGGCAGCCGTCTCTACTACAGCTTCAAGAACATCACCAAGCAGCACCCGCCGCCGCTGGCGCAGCCCGCGCTGTCGCCCGCGTCCTCGCGCTCCGTCTCCACCTCCTCGTCCTCCTCGTCCAGCAGCAGCAGCAGCGGCAGCAGCAGCAGCAGCAGCGGCGGCGAGGACGCCGACGACCTGATGTTCGACCTGAGCTTGAATTTCTCCCAAAGCGCGCACAGCGCCAGCGAGCAGCCGCTGGGGGCCGGCGCGGCGGCCGGGAACCTGTCCCTGTCGCTGGTGGATAAGGATTTGGATTCGTTCAGCGAGGGCAGCCTGGGCTCCCACTTCGAGTTCCCCGACTACTGCACGCCGGAGCTGAGCGAGATGATCGCGGGGGACTGGCTGGAGGCGAACTTCTCCGACCTGGTGTTCACGTATTGAAAGGGGCGCCCCGCTTCTCGCTCTTTCTCTCGGCGGGTGCAGAGCAGGGTTCCCTGGGAGGAAGTTGTGGTGGTCATGATGATGATGATGATGGTGATGGTGTTGGTGGTGGTGGTAGGGTGGAGGGGAGAGAAGAAGATGCCGATGATATTGATAAGATGTCGCGACGCAAAGAAATTGGAAAAGATGAAAATTTTGGTGGAGTTAAAGTGAAATGAGTAGTTTTTAAACATTTTTCTTGTCCTTTTTTTTTTTGCCCCCCCCTCCCTTCCTTTATCGTGTCTCAAGGTAGTTGCATACCTAGTCTGGAGTTGTGATTTTTTTCCCCAAAAAATGTGTTTTTGTAATTACTATTTCTTTTTCCTGAAATTCGTGATTGCAACAAAGGCGGAGGGGGCGGGGCGGGGGAGGGGAGGCAGGACCCGCTCCGGAAGGCGCTGTTTGAAGCTTGTCGGTCTTTGAAGTCTGGAAGACGTCTGCAGAGGACCCTTTTGGCAGCACAACTGTTACTCTAGGGAGTTGGTGGAGATTTTTTTTCTTAAGAGATCTTAAAGAACTGGTGATTTTTTTTTTTAACAAAAAAAGGGACCATTGCAACTTTTTTATTTTATTTTATTTTTTTGGAGGGAGAAAACTGATGTCTTCTATGCATCCGATTCTTAACAAAACTGCAGGGAGCTTGAAAAAATGCAGACTGTACAAACGCTTACAAAAAAAAAAAAACTGTGAACTGACTTAAGATCAGAGTTTACTTTTCAGATCAAATTGTTTATGGTTTTACAAATGTGATTTCTACTTGCCAACTTTTTTTTTGTAACTTGTTCCCTTATACCTCCTTGATTGAATACCAGACAGCCTAGACCTCAGTACAAAAGGTATTGAAACATTTTTGATACATAACAGACCTCAGTCTTTTTTAAAAATTAATATATTTTCAGGCGTATTTTTGTACAGTGAAAAGGGAACATTCTTGCTGTGTTTTTTCAGTAAGACTTTCAGGCACTTCTTCCCTTTTGATTTCTTTTTTTCCTCTGTTTTTTAGCATGCAAGTATGTTGGTACGTTATGTCCTGGTTTAAAAAGGATTAAAATTTTAAAATAATCCTTGCATCTAAAGGCCTTGTGGTTTAAAAAAAAAAAGCAAACTTTTTTTTTGTACAGCTATAGTAGAGATTTGTTCAATATTTGTAGGTAAAGATTTATTGAAAATGGTGATATAGACCTCAGAGCTGTTATCTTAGTTTAAAGATTGTATATGTACTGTACTATAGTAGGACTTTATGTATCTCATACGCTGTGATGTGGATGGGGCCCCAGATGGAAGGTTTGAAACTGGATTCTCGATTTTTAGCAAAAAAGGAAAAAAAGGCACATAGTTTAAAAAGTTTCTCATTTTGTGCAATATAATCTAAATAAAGTACAGACCATCTGCATACTTTGTAGCAAATGGTGGCAAAGCAGACTCAATGCACTGTCGACATCATTGCCTGTTTTTTTTTTTTTTTTTTTTTTTGTGCTGGAAGTCTGT